ATGCTAAAAAAAAAAAAAAAAAAAAGGAAAAGAAAAATACATTGCCAGTTTCCTTCCTCCTTATATAACATAAATCACGAGTAGGTTACATCAGAAGATTTCTTGACCCTCAATAAATACAGAAATTTTTGTTTTTACTCTCTTACTACATGTACATAAAGACTTACATAATATATTATATACTGTCATGTGACACTTTACCAATTTCCAGTTTAAAGTATAATCAATTTTTTTATCTAATTTTTTCCCTCCATATTATATTATATAATTCATTATGTATATTTTTTTATGTACAAGTGGCAAAATCCTTCTGAATAAGATCTATGTTCACTTTTTTGAGTTGAGTTATGCTACACTTACAAAAGTGGTTGATAAAGTTGGAGACAAAATCACGTCCACACCAATCATTTCAAAAACAGATTTTCAAATTATTTGAAATCAATGACCTGAATTTTGCTAACACACTTTGTAACTCAATTTTTGTAATCCAACTTTGTACAAGTAACTTTATTATTTTGAGTTTTCCCCTCAAATAACACAAGATAAGAATAAATAATGAAAAATCCTTAACAAATTTGTCATTTACCTCACGTGGAGTTATAAAACTCCTAAATTCATCATTTGACCAGGTGGTTTATATTCATGTGCTGAATTTGCACAGAAATCAAGATTTCAATCATGGATTCCGGCGCTATTGCTGTGTTACTTTCGTCTCTAATTTCTCAACTTTTAATTCTCCTCTTCTTAATTTTTCCCTCCTCAAATCCCCTTACTTCAATTTCCTCTGCACATTACCCTTTAATAGAATCACTTTTTCCTCTCCTCCACCATTTTATCTCCACCTCTGATATTGCCGCCTCCGTTTTCCTCCTTTCGTGTTCGAGAAAACGAAGGCGGACCCATTTCTCGGACCCCGATTCCCCGGAGGAAGATGATGATCCAGCATTTAAACTTGGGAAAATGGGTCGATTTGGACGAGTTGACTCTGCCATATTCAGAAACCCTGATTTGTTCCAGCAATTCTTCAAGATGAATACCTCGACATTCGAGTGGCTATGTGGGTTACTCGAGCCGTTGCTTGACTGCCGTGACCCGGTTGACTCGCCTTTCAATCTTTCGGCGGAGATCCGTCTCGGAATTGGACTATTCCGACTCGCTACTGGCTCTGATTACCCGGAAATCTCTCGCCGATTCGAAGTCTCTGAGGCCATTTCAAAGTTCTGTGTCAAACAGCTCTGTCGTGTGCTCTGCACCAATTTCCGGTTCTGGGTGGGGTTCCCGAGTCATAACGAGTTAGATTCTGTGTCAGCCCAGTTTGAAACCCTCACTGGCCTGCCCAATTGCTGTGGAATCATAAAGTGTGCCAGGTTCAGAATCACTGGGTCTGAATCTGACAGAACTAACGCAGAAACCCCACAAGAAGAACACATTGCTGTTCAAATCGTTGTGGACTCATCGTCAAGAATTTTAAGCATTGTAGCTGGTTTTAGCGGCAATAACAGTGATTTTCAGGTCCTTAAATCATCAACTTTATTTAAAGATATCGAGAAAGGGTTGTTATTGAATTTGTCGCAGCCGTTGTATATAAATGATGTGGCTATACCTCAGTATTTTGTTGGGGAAGGGGACTATCCTTTGCTTCCCTGGTTATTAGTACCATTCCGTGATCCCGTGGTTGGCTCATGTGAAGAGAATTTCAATAATGTGCACGGAATGGTGTGTGTTTCTGCGTTAAAAACCATTGCAAGTTTGAGGAACTGGGGTGTTTTGAGGAGGGAAATCAAGGCGGAATATAAGGTTGCAGTGGCGTATATTGGTGCTTGTTCAATACTTCACAATATGTTGATCACGAGGGAGGATTATTCAGCTTTTTGTGATGAATCGGGTGGGTGGGAATCGAAAGATCAGAGCTTTCATCACTATCAAGATAGTGCTAATTTGGAGGAGAATTCGATAGCAAAGAAAGCGTGGGTAATAAGAAATGCATTGGCTACAAGAGCGAGAGAGAAATCAGGCCATCCAATGGATCCAAGCAGTTCAGCCAATCCATAGGATCATTGAATTTTTTTATAGAATATTTTAGAAGTCGCCAAAGGCCAGAACCAGAACTCTGTTCCTTGATTTTGGAAGGAGGTAACTAAGCATTTTCAGCAAGCAATTTATTTGTGGATTATTTTGGTGGGAAACTTTACCGTGGGATGTTCAATTTGAGTTGTGAAAAGTGCAATCTTTTGATCATTGAAATGCAGAACATGTGGTCTCTGATTTGTTCCATAATCCTTATTGTCTTTAATCTATGGGATAGTACCAGAAATTCGATGAGAAAAATAACCTAAAATCTTTACTCATTATCGTGTTGAGCCAATACAATACTCGACTACCCATCCACCATAACTTTTGATCGTCTCAGCTATTAGACAATATAGTGGAAGGTTGAAGTTCTCGAGTGTAAAACTCACAGCTTAGCTAAGTACGACAGTTAGAAGGAAACGGAAGAGTAAACAAAGTAGCTAGAGGAAGAGGATTTGAACATTTTTAGAGCTTGTTTGGTTTGAATTAAAATCTGATTTTAATCCAAGTCAAAGTTAAACAATCGATATTAATCACATCTTTCAAGGGTCCTATAACTTTTCAACCACACATTTCAAAAACTTCTATCATAATTGACTGAAAAATCTAATTCTAATCCCCAACAAACACCCTCTTAATGTTTTATATAGATGAAATCAGTTATTAATGTGATCTTTACGTTTTAAGGACTAGCACGTGGTTAAGAATCAAAAGAATGTCTTCGTGGGTGAATTTTATAACTTAGACACGGATTACTTTTCCCTTTGGTTTTCATTATTTTTACTGACTTCATGTAGAAGTTTCAATCGAATGTATTTGAAATGAATATGTGAAGAATACTTTGATTTTTTTAGTTTCTTTTACCTATTTAAGATTGTCATATTCTGAGCACTTTTGCATGTGTGGTTAATGCAGCATATTTTGCTGAAGGAAGCACCCAATATGTCACATGGAAACTTGAAATAGGAAGAGAAACTTCAAAAATCGAGGGAAGAACTTTCAGCAGAAGACAATTAGTTGCAAAAGCAGAAAACAAGAGATGGGGGAGGGGCGAAGAAGAAGTGTGAAAGGGGCGAGTGTTGTTCCACTAAACGACATGCATTTTTTCTGGTTCTTATAGTCAGTTAGGTCATTTCTATCTTCACGAATCTTTTTCAAGTGTATACAGGTTTTGCAGTTATCTTAGACAGTTGAAGGAATAAAAATACTCATTTAAACAGAAATAGGGGCTCCTGGTTTATATTATCAACATGAATTCCAACCTCTGATTCATTATTATCGAATATTATGCTGTACATCTTGACATCCCCTAAGTATCAGAGCAAATTCCAAATTCTTTATCGTAATCAAGATGATGGGCTTCTCTAGTAGATTCCTAGCATTCGAGAGAATTTGATTTCAGATTCCGAAAGATACAGGGAGTAGCATGTCTCTGTGGATAGCATAAGTTCTTTGACTTTCTGTCCTGTGAACTTTGCATGCTTTTATGATAATTTTTTGGTCTTTCTGTCTTTTCTTTTTACCCTTTTGATCTGCTTTAAGGTGGTTCCTCTGTTAGACTTTGGTTACTGACCCCAATTTTAGTTCTGGTAAAAGCTGTTAGTATTGTGTTCACAATGTGCTTATGAATTTGAATTTCTGAATTTCTCTTTGGTTCTCCTGTAAGATGCTACCGTTCACATTTAATGATAAATGTTTGTGTTAACCGTTCATTTTTCCATGGGTTTGGTAGACATTTTTTCTTCATTCTCTCATTTCATAAAAAATGATTCGATCCCAAATGATTCCCAAGGAATCAAGTTACGAATTAATGCAACACCTTATTTAAGTCTGACCATGGCATAAAAATTCATGAAAGGCTTGGCTCACTCGTCGCTTTTTATTTTTATTTTTGGACCTTTTTTTTATGAATTTAAATTGAAAATTGGATTTTCGCTCCTCACTATAAAATGAGGGCGTAAGAAAATTATATTTTGTCAAAATAATTATCTAAGGGTAAAAAAGGTAAACATATAAATTATATATCGTCGAAAAACATTATAAAGTGTGTAAAAATCCTCCTCCTTTATACGGACTTGAGGCCAACCAATAAGTAGGCGACGTTAAACTTTACAAGAATAAATATTTTATGTTACATTTTTTTTTTCAAAATAAATAAATGAAATAAATACAATGTAATAACAATGAACGAAACGAAATAAATGTCTACCCTAGTACTCAACAATTTGTATGCATGAAAAAGATGCAGAAATCTCACATTCATGTTCTTGAAGCCATGGAGCATTAAATTTGTACTTCTATTCGAGCTGTTATACGACTTAGACCTCATGATACACCTCAATCTAACACATGATCTTTCAATAAACATATGTCTGTAAGTACCGTTATTGGTGTAATTATTCATGGGCTATAGTGGAAAAACTTCGGATATTGACAACATGTGTTCATTCCACCATTGAAGTATATTGAAAAAGTTGTCCCCTATTGAGACGCCCCATGTTAGTGCTCTAAGGAGCATTTGCTCATACATTTTGAACTTTGATAACTAAAATTTATGTTCTTAGAACTGGAATATAAACTACACAATTCTTTAATTTGTTCCCAATTTGTCGCTATATTTATTTCAAAGCTAAGTAAATTACTATAAAGATGACGTTTAGAGGAAAGTGTAGGGGAAGAAGATGAAGTTTTAAAGGTTTGAAATTGTAGGTGGTTCAAAGGTTAGGGTATAACTTTCACAAAAAAAAAAGTTTGGGACCAAAACTGTAATTATTTCTTCATTTTTCATGTAGTAAGTTCCAATTTTCATGATTTTTTCAAGGGATAACTGCAGCACAAGCTCCAAACCTTTGAAATATTAGTTGACTTTTCCCAAATCTTTCAAATGTTGTAGTCGTAATCCCAAACCTTTTCAACCATAGTAGTTGAGGCCCCAATGGACGGTTTCCATCCGATTTGTTGTCAATTGACCCAAAAAATTAGTTTTGAGTATATTTTAATCAATGTCAATGAGGGCAAAATGGTACTTTCATGTTTACTACATTAAAGAATTAAAATAATTAAATAACAAAAGAAAAAAGAAATGGGAAAACTTAACATTTTTCTTCCCAAATCCACCACATCCTTCACAGATTCATTCACATGTCTTAATTACCTATGTTGAATTACCGGTAACAATAAATAAATTAAAGCAATAAAAGAACACAACGAATGTTGACAGAGAAACCCCAACTGGGTAAAAACTCCGAGCACAAGCCAGTAGAGATCCACTATTTGTAGAAGGTAACTTACAGTACGTCAGAACAATTGATCCCCTCAATTTTCTGACCTCCTTACTGTTTGAGAACAAGACTCTCCTGGATCTAGCAGATCTGTGCTACCATCCCAACCTTGTGTGACTTCTACTTCCCGTGAATCGTCAAGCACTCCCGCTCTTCAAGCAAGTTCTTCCCGAATCTTCAATCTGAGGATCTTCTGGAAGTTTTATAGGATTTAGAGAAGGTGGTGTTTTGGTGTTTCAGGGTGTGATGTTTTTCTGCAGAAGCCAAGGATTTTTAATCTGAAAAGTTTAGAAGATTGTTTGGCTTTTTGAACCTTGGTGTGAAAGATATAAAGGATTAATCTCCAAGGAATATGAAAGATTAAAGAAAAGTTTTTCAACAAAAGCTTTTCGAGGATTTTGATCTCCAAGGATTTTAGAGAGAATCAATAATATGGCTTCAATGTGTATTTCCTCGATGTTCAACTCGAAGGAGACGAATGGTATTTATAGGGCTCAACATATGGTCTTGTGGCGCGTCAAAAATTCGCGAGCTTTTAAATTTAATGTTGCCCAGATAAATAGGTCGCTCGAACGAGGGACCAGCGTGACTCGAGCGACGTCCACTTCACTCGAGCGACCTGCTGGCGAAGCTCTAGCGACAGTGGTTCTGCAATCGTAGCTCGAGCGAGATCATGGCGTGACTCTAGCGAAATCTCGCGTCGTTTGCAACTTCGAGGCATCCATCACAACCCTAGACCTAGCCTTCAACACTTTGATTAATTGCAACTCAAGTCCCTGAACTATTGGACATTTGACACTTTGGTCCTTGACCTTACAATTATGACATTTTAATCCTTGACTTTACAATTATTACATTTTGGTCCTTGGTAACAGATTTGCCAATTACATATTTCCTAACAATAAATAACCAATCCAATTAATTAATTTTATCCAACGATTGGATTAATTAATTAATTGGCAATTTGCAATTTTCCAATTCTCTCTTGTGTGCGACCCATCAGGTTCTCGACCACGATGCCTAATGAGGAGAAATATTATTTTGATATAATCAAAACTAATAAATTAAATACCCTTTTAATTTATCACAGATTTACACTCACCGTCCCAGATTGACATCTAGGAATGTATCAGGGCAACACATGTGACGGAAAATGTCACGTGGTATGACAAAATCAAAACTGTTCATTTACCATGAAACTATAATCCTTTCGTCAATATGATTCAATCAACTACGAGATATGGAAGTGTGTCAATCTCGATTATCGATCATATCTTTCATTCTACTGTTAAGTCAATATGAGTCGAAAACTCCTTTTCGACTTATATGTATACCTTGGCCAAGGATCTCGTTATTGACTTAATTGAACGAAATGCAGATCACAATCTCGTACTATCTAAGAGTGACGAATCCTCTATTGGTCATTCACAACCTTCATATAGTTCTTGACATACCCGAACGATGTCGTATTAGCGGCCCTTAGCAGAGCAACATCCAACACCGTCAAAGCATGACTGTCCTCATACAAGGCACTATGATGACTTCAAGTCATAGGACCAATTCCATTACCGAACGTTAGAGATTAACCACTAACACTCGATAGTTATCCATGTGGAATCTCTTAGTGGGTCTCCAATGTTTTGTTCTATAACAAAATATCCTCGTGTTCATTCAAGTGTCACCACACTTTAGCTCATGAGATCAGCTACTTACTTCACAAGTAAGAAATGTCACACGTGATAGTCTATCTGTATTAACGATATCCATATCTCGTTATTACTTACGACCACGGTTTATTCAAGATCCAATCATACGTAATTTGTATCTCACAATCACAACTCCTTGTGATTAACAAATCACTTAAACTTGGATCTTCGGACTCTATTATTTAATATTATTTATCACAACATTAATTTAAATAAATAATAGATCTTACCAAAATTAAATGCATTAGACATATTAAAAGTGTTTACAACCTAAATCGATTAGATCTAGGGCATAAAACTTACAAACTCTCACTTGCACTAGATTCAATCACTCATGTATCTAATACCATAAGCGTCCACATGACGATTATGTTTCTGTCGTGACAACGACTTTGTCAATGGATCTGCAATATTGTCATATATGGGAATTCGCTCTATCCTTACGTCATTTCTTTGTATAATCTCCCTGATGAGATGATATCGCCTTAGCACATGTTTGGATCGTTGATGAGACCTCGGTTCCTTCACTTGTGCGATGGCTCCATTGTTATCACAATACAAAGGTATGGGATCAACAATGTTAGGAACGACTCCAAGTTCATTAATGAACTTCTTGATCCAGACAGTATCTGTGGATTCCTGAACTTCTTCAAATTCGAGTTTACTTCCACTACCCTCTTCTAGAATAAACTCTTTCTCTAGGAATATGACATGTCTTGAGATGAACACCTTCTTCTCAACGGGATTATAGAACTGATATCCAATTGTCTCTTTTGAATATCCCACAAATATGCATTTATCAGACTTAGCCTCAAGCTTATCTGATTCATTTCGCTTTACATAAACGTCACAGCCCCAAACTTTCATGTAAGATAAGTTTGATCTTTTCCCTCTCCATAACTCGTATGGAGTTTTGTCAATCGATTTAGATAGGACACGATTAAGTGTGTAGCACGCAGCAATTAATGCATGACCCCAAAATGATTTTGGGATGTTTGCATAGCTCATCATAGATCGTACCATGTCTAACAAAGTACGATTCATCCGTTCAAATACACCATTATGTTGAGGTATATATGGCGGAGTCCACTGCGAGAGAATCCCATTCTCTTTTAGATAATCTAAAAATTCTCTCTTTAAATATTCTCCACCTCGATCTGATCTCAGCGTGAGAATATTTTTACCAGTCTGTTTCTCTACTTCAAGTTTGAATTCCTTGAACTTTTCAAGTGCTTCATGCTTGAATTTCATCAGATACACATAACCATATCTAGAATGATCATCAGTGAATGTGATGAAGTAAGAGAAACCACCTCTAGCAGTTATTGGCATGGGTCCACATACATCAGTATATATTAGTCCC